GTTTTACTTGATCTAGCTTCTTGAGTCATTTCCTGTGGATTTGCAAGATCTCTTATTTGATCTCTGCTTTCACTGTCCTGCCAATTTGCAAGCTGCTAAGCGATTTATTCTCTTAATGGTTTCTCTCACTCACTGCACAACCCTCTTACTATTACTTTCACTGAAGTATTGAATTTTATTTTTCTAATATTCAGGTTACTGTGCCGGTTCTTGTAAGCCTGTTGGAGCTGACTGACTTTTCTGAATGAAAAGGCTCTCTCTCAGAGGTGTGGTTTCTGTTTGTGCATTGTGTTGTTTGTACACAGAGCTTCTGCTCAAACACAGAGTAGCGCTTCCCTGTGATGCGATCGTTAAGGTACCCAGAATTAATTAGCCGTTGGTGGCAGAGCTTCAAGGCAGCAGCTCCTGCATACTAACGATTTGCCTGCTATGACTGTCCTGTGTTTTATATTCAAAAGAAACATTTATTTTGCGGAGTAATCCTTCAGCTGTTGCACAGAACCTTGTTTCTGCTCAGATTGGAAAAAAACTCCCCTGAGTGCTGTTACACCTTTAGCTAGCACTTATTTAGGGTGAGAACCACTGGAATTTGAAGTGTTAAAGTTTAGGATGGCATTTACTGCAGGCTTGCAACGTAGCCTCCTGCCTTCACTTACTCTCACTTGTAAAGCCTTTCAGCCTTTGAGCTGAAGTCTTCCACACTGTTGATTTAGGAACCTAATTATGAATGTTGGTACCCTGTTGACTGTGCTGAATTCAATGATTTTTCCACTGACTCACTTGGTGACTTTGAATGAGTGAGGAATGGAAGTCAGCAGTCCTGAATCATGCCATCCTCCAGACAATTACCCCCCTCCCCAATAATTCTTTTGAGCAGCAATCATATTTTAAAAGCAACGATTGCATCTGTATTTTCTCTCATCATAATTTCTCAGAATTTAAGAGCTACAAAAACAATCTGCAACATTTCAAGTGTAAAGTCTTTCAGGATTGACACTTTTTGGGAGGTCACAGTTTGGAAATACAGGGTTTTTTTCCAGCAGGAGTGGGATTTTAGCATGTGGTTTGGAGAATTGTTGGGATCCTTTTTGGGCACCTGCCAGGGAAAGAGGATGTGGAGAGCTCCTTGCAGTCTTCCCAGGATGTCTTTTTGGAGGCTGGTAAAACCAGAGCAGGCAAGCGGAACGGACCCTTGCTGCCAGATGAGCAGACTATTCCACTTCTCCATTTTTCGGTCTTTGTAAACCTGCATTTTACTAGGACACAAAGTTGAGGAGATCTCTGCACCGTTGCCTGTATGGCTTTTCTGGACACCATGGGATCAACTTGGGCAACAGCAGCCAATGTGCTGAGGGCTGGGAAGGCATTGACCAGTGCATGGAGTCAGGCATGAGTCATGCCTATGGGACAAATCTGGTGTCATTAGTAGCTGTGTTCCTCAAACCTTGTGCTCTCCTTCATCCTCTCCCAAAATAAAAGCAAAGTTTATTGAAATGGGGAGATGGTGAGGAAAAGCAGTATTTTCAAACCCTTGCTTTCCTACTGGACACTCTGTTGCCCTCCTAATATTCAGCAGTAAGTGATTTATAGCCCCCCTGACATGGTGGTTTGGTGTTTCCTTTGTGTGCATAACTTCCTTTTGATATAAAGGGATGATAACAAACCTAAATTGTAGTCTCACAAGCACATGACACTTTGTCTTTGTGGTGCAGATAGCAGGAAAATGCTCTAATCTTGAGTTCAACACTTCAGCCTATCCACCCCCAAATTCCACCCTGGTGAGAGGGTGGCATTAGTAGGTTTAGTGAGACAGCAGTGTTGGTGGGGGTGATTCTTTCACACACAGTAGTGCAGGATGATGGTTTTGGGAGTGCCACTAGAGTCAAATCTCTGGCATGGACTCAACAAGAGACGGGTGCACAGCTGCTTCTTGAACTTTTTTGCATACCTTTTTGTGCTGAATGCTTGGAAGGAAAAACTGCTACAAAACCTTCACTTTCTGCTGCCGGTTCTGCAGTGGTGCTCCGACTCAGCATACCCTCTGGACCATCAAACTGAAAAATAAGTGTGCAGAAACTTTGCAAGTGTCTCCGCAACCTCAGGATTAGTCCTAAAGCCAGGCTACTCTCAGCATGAGGGAAGGGCTGCTTTTCTCTTGAGATGCCTTTCCACCCTTGAGAGGTTTCTGCATTTTTGATACAGCTGTTTCCAGGGCCTCATGAGAACTGAACAAACAGATGCCAAATAAAGTTTTACTTCACGGAGCACAAAAGTGGATGGATCTCGGAAAAACACTGGGCTTGTGCACACCTTTGTCTCCCCTCCTTGGGGGTCATTGAATCAGGTTTGAACCTTTAAGTGTATTTCAGAAAGCTGCCTTCTGATAGCCAAACTTCACTTGGGTGTTCCTCCCTTTCCCTCACAGCTATTGTGAGACCATCTCCTCTGAACACTCATGTTCCCTTTATTGCAAAGCTCTTTGATCAGCCTCAGCAGGTGACATGATGAACAGTTGACTGACTACTTTGGCAAAACCAGTTTTTGTGGCTTGACCTCCTTTTCACACACAGTGTCTTGCTGTGAGTACAGGGTCCTATTCAGTGTCTGAGTGGTTATAATTGTTGGTTTACCCAGTCTAGACCTGGTTGTGGGAGAAACCCCCGCACAGGTATCAATCAGGAATGGCTTCTGGAGTTAAATTAAGCATTTGAAATATGGAAATGCTGACATGGCTGGGTCAGATGTTTGATGATACACAGGGGAAATGAGTTGTATATACCCTGTCTGTATCCTCATTTACTCAGCCCTTGGCTTCAGGGCTGCTCAGTGACACTGACCCACTCCGTCCTTTGCAGATGCTTGGCCATATTTAATTTCAGAGGGTGCCAGTCCACCCTCTTCTCCAGGCAGATATTTTCCCTTGTGTCAACATCCTCATAACAACTCCAGCTAGGTAAATATAGCACATGCCTTATGAGTGTCCTGGAAGGACTCAGAGGTGGAGAGTCAGAGCTAAAGAAGTCTCATGGTTAACCCCATGCACCACCGAATAGCTTTGGGATAAGTCGCAGCACATGATGAGGAAGCTGGGAGGAGAGTTTAATGGTCCTGCAGAGAACACCTCCTTAGACAGCCACCCTCCAAGACGTTCCCAAGGATTCCCATGGAAAATAATCCTGTGCTCCTTTTATGTTCTGGTAATCACACACATATTATGCCTCCCTGCCAGTTCTAAGGAGAAAAGTGATTAGTCACTCCACACAAAAACCTTTGGGAACTGTACATATACTCCACTATGGATGCCAGCTCCATCTAGAAGGGAATGAAGACTCGCAGCTCTGCTCTGTGTGGTTGTCAACAGAAGCTGCTATTTGCAGGTACTGGATGCAAGGCCTTCCAGGTGCCCACTGCCAGCTGCATCCCCAGCAGTGTTTGCTGCCAGGCTTAACAAAGCCCAGAAATGCAAGCCCAGCTTATGAGAGCTTCACACCTACAAGACCAAAAGCACAAGCTTGATCCTGCTCAGAGTTCCCTTGTTTAAGACAGTAGACTCTCCAGTCTCTTAGAGAAAAAAAGAAGGGCTGGTTATTGCTGGATGCCTGTTCTGACCTTAAAAGCTGAAAGTAAAAACCATCCAAGATATGGGGCATGCTGAAGTGGCAGCTGAAGGGCTTTTTTTGTTCCTTCTGCAGTTAATGCCATTGTGCTAAAATTGCACACGGGTGGGAGTGGGGGTTAATTTAAGGTTTAGCGTGACCAAGAAGAATTATTTAGAAAATAGCAAATGGACAGCATTCTGAAAAATGAGCTTCACTTCCCTAACTAGGAGTACTTAAGTTGAAGAGACTATGAAGGAAACCTCCATATCCATGGCAGGTAAACATTTGCCTTTGATTCTGTTTTTCTCTTCAAGTCTAGAAACCCCAGCATTTACACTTAAATGAATGTGCTGTAAGCTATGTTTAGGAAGAGAATTTCATCCCCTCCTGCACGTACTTTTACACATGATAATTATTTGACTGTAGCTTTACAAAGTATGGCTGGAGGGATGGTTTGAAAGGGAGGAGTTACATAGCACTGATGATAACTGCCTGATTCAGCCCTACTGAAGGCAGTGGCAGCAGGATCAGACAATCCAGAAGAGATTATTTTGTTTTAAATAGCCATTATGGACCTTCAGTGACTTATGATAAATTCCTGCCTTCTGATTTCATGCACTGGAGGACACACATGTGTGCTGGAACCATGCATGTCTTCAGAGTCACGTATTCAGTGTGGACATGAATCTCTGCATTTTGTCACCACTTTAAAAAAAACCAAAAACTAACAGAGAGCTAGAGAGCTTATGAAGATGACATTTTTGTGAATGATGGTATTTTTTTAATACCATCGGTTTTGTCTTCATCAAACATATCACAGAGTCTGGGCTTTTCCTTTATTTTTTACATTCTGCTTCTTCTCACCCACTTGATCTGCTCCTTCCATACAAATGGAATTGTAGTCCAAAACTCATGGAGGGGTGAAAGAACTGCTCTATAACCACATGGTCTGGATGCAATACCTTGCACATAACTGCTTCTCTTTGTGCCAAAGACATTACCACACTACCAGTATTTAATTTATTACCACACAAAATGCTCTGGATAGCTGTGACATTGAAACACTTCCTATAAATTGGTTCCTGCTCAGCTCTAAAGACATTTGATGTTTTTGATGTTTTTTAGTCTAAAAAAGTACAAAGGTGAAAACTCTCCCACAAGGCCTGATCAAAATATTGTGAGATGGCAGTCTAAATTTTGGCCTCTCTCTGGCTTGCAGGAAAATCAGGACAAGTCTTTGTTTTCTTGAAAGAAACAGGGATGGCTGTCTTTAAAATCCTGAGAGGGTGGAAAGCAGAGAGGATTTCCACCCTCCTGTGGCAAGGTCACTTCTATCCCCTCTGCAGATGGACCTACTGTAGTAAGAAGATGGGCAAGGCACCTTTTGAGAAGGTCACCAGAGCCTGTTGTCCTGTGCTTTCTAAGGAATGCAAGCAGTGGTAAGGGCTTCGTGCCACTACCATTTACCTGTCACCCATATCACAGGCAAAGCTTTCTTTGATCATAATGTCTCTTATTGCAGGAAGCTGTGGAAACTCTGCAGTAACTTTGCTGCACACAACTACCCCAAAAGAGGCTTTGACCTTTTAACAATGGCACTTCATTATACAGTATTTTCTTGTGTTGATTTTTCAAGTGTTGGGGTGGAGATAATCACTGAGAAACACAAGATGTTGAAAAAAAATATATATATTAAATTATATATTGTGACTTTTGATTTACAGTATCTTTGTAATCATGTCTGATCTTATGTGCTAATTTTCATTTGTATCCTTCACAGTCATTTGTAGGTGTGGAAGAAAGTGTTGGTCTTCCATTACAGCAGAAGGAGCTACAGCCCAAGGAGATACTTGGGTGTCAGGAAGAGGACTCAAACTCAAGAACATTTGGGAGTCATTTAAGACAGGAAGACAACATCCACTCGAGTTTAATTCCCTGTGCTTGGCTGTGAGTGGTGCATAAATCACCTGAGACCCTCCATTCCTCTGTAATTTACTGTTGGAAAGGACAGAAATAAATTCTAACATATTTGTGAGACACACCAGAATTACTCCAAACTTAGAAGAATTTTGGAGCAAAGTTAAACGCTTCAAGCCTAAATTGCACACTGCTAATTATCTCCTTATAGTTTATGTCATCATGGATTAAAATGAAATGCTGCTATGAAGGTGCCCCATCAAACAGAACATGGTTCTAGTTGTTTGTCTTGTGTGGCCTGAGTAAAAGTGCATTTCCGCCCCAGGAAAATCCTTTATGTCCTGATTTCCAAGTTCAAAAATAACTCTCTACAGATGAAACATATTTTTCACCCTTTAAAGTTGTGTTTTCACCTACAAATACTTGCTGCCTAAACAAGATCTCTTTCCTTTGCACTTGTGCCAACATGCAACTTGGATAAAGAACTAAACTTAGATTCATAGTTGTAATGCTTCCACTGACTTTTTTGGTTTTGTTTTTTAATAATGACTCTAAGACATGTGCCATCTCTCTTCTGAATTTTAATCTTTCTAATGAAGGTGTGTTTGAAGAAGGCACACCCTTCAGAAGATGTTTTGTGGTATCGTCTTTGAGCCTTTAGTGTTGAGGACCAGCTGCATTTTCAATTTTAAATGCACTTTTCAGGGTCTTACATCACAGAGGCCTAAATTAAAACACACTTACCATAAAGAGGTGCAGCACATGCATTCATCCTGGAAATTGCACTGCGACATGAAAGATATCCAAACCCTACATGTAATTTTGAAGATGAGCAAGCCTTGGCCTTTCAGATGTCCCACGTGAGGGAAGCGCGCCCAGGTCCAGCAAAATTGTAAGCTTCTGAATCATGGAAGCTGGATCTTAAAGCCTCTAATTCCCACTGAATTAGAGATGTTTGACAATGTGTGTGGCTGTGAAAATTAAGCCCAGTGCTGGATTGGGGGTGGCCGACTGCCTGGTGGATGTGAGCCTACGCAGGAACCCCTGTGGTCCAACACCCAGGGTGATCCAGGGACATGCAGAACTCAGCAATGGGCAGCTCTCACTTTATGCCTCCCAGCTCATCCTCCACATGTTATTCAGGATCAGGGATCAGGATCTGGTAGCTCCCCATGACATGAAAATTTTGAACATTTTCTTTAGTGGTTTGCAGGCTGAAAAGGGCTGGTCATGCCTTCTATAAAGAATTATCTGATTAGCTCTAGATGTCTTTCTCCTAATGAAGGTTATTGGAGAAAATGTTTCTTCTCTAGAATGGTGGTATACACCAGGAGTAAGACCTCTGCACCTTCATTTTGGATGTATATACCATGGTGAGAGCAGCAGCTGGTCTTTAACTTAGCTCCCTGCAGCTATGGAAACCTTGCCACAGGTTGTGCACCCCTGCAGAAACAGAGACCTACTTTCAGGGTTCATGGGTTCAATGCCAAATTCTCTCTCCATATACATGGCTCCCAGCAACTGAACAGTAGCTGCAGAGAGCCATCAGCTTCATTAGCCTGCAGGTATACAGAGGGAACCCCCAAACTTCAGCCTGAGACTTCCCTTCCTGCCTCTATTTAATGTCAGTTTCACTTGCAACTGTTTAGGGGAAAGATTTTTCCGCAATCTCTTTCAAGTATCAGATACTGGCAATCCCTCTCCTGGAGTGCCGTGGTTGGAGAGTATCCTGGGCTAACTTGGGAGGGCAAGGCTCTCCCATATCTAAACATTGCAGTAAATGTTATTCAGCCTCCTGTAGGGTTACTGAGCTTGACACAAATGTCCTAGCCAAGCTCACAAGGAAGAGGAAATATGGGAATATACGCCACCAGAAGACACTGTCTCCCTTGACGTTTTTGTCTGTAAAACAATAGCTTACAGAGCATTTTTAACTGAAAGGTGTTGTTGGCCTCTTTCCTTTTCATTTTTTGACTTTTGTTTCCTGTAGGAGGGTCTCTGGAATTCCTTAATGTTGTCATCAAGTCCTAGGGATTTTTTTTCCCCTCTTTTAGCTGTGCTACATCTCCCAGGTTGCCAGCAATGCAAAATTGCTGAGGGAAGACATTTTTGTTTAAACTGGAAGCCATGAATACAAGAGCTTCTCCTCCCAAAGGAAATGTTGTTTTTACTTCCATGTCCCCAATCTTACATCTTTGCTTTGTACTCAGGTATTTTCACTTGAGACTTCCCAGTTTCCTAGAAATTCTGATTTACTCTCTTCCTGAGTCTGTGGAACAAGATACTAAATCCATCTTGCTTGGAAAAAAATTAAAGAAAGAACAATAAAACCCTAATTGAAACATTTTGCTGAAAAATGTCACAGCATAGTGATTTTTGAAACAAAAGCCAAATAAATACTTTTTGCTTTTCTAAATTAGGAAAAGAAATGCTCGTGTATACCCATTCAGTTGGAGTGGAATTGGAAAATCTTTGTTTCATATGCAGTGCCAACTTCAGGAAAAGGAGAGTCTGGCTTTGTCTTCTTATGTGTATTTGTGTGTCTTTGTTATCAATATGTGGCAGTCAGTCTTGGGAAGTTTTACTGTGATGTTGAGAAGTCTGCAATTCCAGGCACTAAGGTGGCTCCTTTGGAAAGGCTGAAATGTGGCTGCCTGCTCTTAGGAACTTCTCTAAAACCACAGGGACTCTGCACCCCACTTCTTTCTAACTCAGGACAACCAGATGTCCAAGGCCCAGGTCCATTCTGAGATCCTAACAAGTATCTTTGGGATATTGTTTTGTCCCAAATTTTATTTCCTGGATATGTTTTTTTTTTCCAGCAAGCCCTTCTTCATCTGCAGTGATCTGATCTTCTTCCACATCGAAAAGACAGGAGCCTCCCATGCAGGAGACTTGTGCCTCACTCACCTCACCACCCTCCCCAACTTGTCCTCCCTTCACTGCTTCTTTCTCTCTTTACAGTCATCACCCAACTGTGAGCTTTGTAACCTCAGTGCATTTATATCCCCGCTCTCCCAGATCTCAAGGGATAAGTTCTTGTCAGTCCCACCCAGAGGGATCATTCCTGTGTGTGCAATGAGTTTAGGGAACATCATGCAGAATCTCAGTCCAGGATTCCCTGGCCAAAACTGAGACACCACATTCCCTTCCACCATGTGAAAATGAAAGTAAGCTTGGCCACAGCAAAACCACAGAGCAGTGGTGAAGCCTTCAGTGTTGGTGGAGGTGGAATAAAGCACACAAATCTTTACTTCAGATTTTCAAGGGGTGCAAAATACATGGATGTGCCTGTCAGCAAGACTTCCAGAAGGACAAAATGTCACGGGGATCCCCATTACGAAAAGCTGCCCTAAGGTTGGTGACACAGGATTTCCGCAAGCTGGTGCTTATCTTGTAGGCAGATCTCCTGGGGGGTGAAAAGTCAGACACACACACACACAGGTACAGTGAGCACAGCTGTCTGTTGTGGGGCTGTAAGGAACTGCCGGAAACCCATGGAGGAAGATGCAAAAAACCCCAAAAATGTAAAGGGGAAAGGCAGGAGGGAAGAAGCTGTTTTTCTCAAAGCTTGGCTGCCCTTGCAAGCAGAGTAACATCACAAAAGAGACACATGGTTAGGCAGGTTTAGACCATGAAATCCTTTTGGAGTTTTGTAGATGGTGAAGTAGAGAGAAAGAAACTTTGCTGAACACCTGTGCAGTGGTTAATGTGATGTTTTCAGGAGAGTTCGCCCATGAGTAGGCACAGCAGCTTGCTGTGCTGATAAAGCTCATTTCTGCTCTGGAGTTAGGCAAACTGAGCCATGGGGGCAAATCAACTCACCAAAGCCACACAGTAAATGTGACAGAGGTAGAAAGATTAAATATGAACAGATTGCCTTTACCCTACCTGCTTCACACACTCATGTGAAGACAGAATCTGCACTGAGCATTTTAGAATCTCTTGAAATTCTGAAGTCAGGTGTCCTGGATAGTACTGACTCACTTATGTAGAAGTTAAGAATGGAGTAAAATGGGTTACTTGAGGTCTCAGTTTGGCCCAAAGGAGCAAAGGTTGTTGCTCGCTCCATGTCTGCGTGTCAGGAAGGCATAGAGCAGAGAACAAAACCTCTGAAAGACCTGGGGAAGTAATAGCTGCTTCAGATCAGGGGCTGGAAAATGGAGAGTAAAAGAATTAGATTGCATCAAAGCAAAAGAAATGGTAATTTTAACCTTTTTTTTTTCCCCACTTGTTTAGGGGAAATGGGAAAAAAACCCCAATGTGTTATTTTGGGTCAGCCCAAATTGCATTTTGAATGTAATATTTTGTTTTGAGGTTAGTTGCCCCTCTTGTTTCTCACACTTTCTTTTATTTCATGTCTCTTTTGAGTGGAAAATGCCGCTTTAAAATAACAAATCAGAGGGTTGTGTTTAAGAGGCAGTGAAATAGAATGCTCTGGGATTTTCAAAACAATTTCTTTCAAGAAATGTAGTTATGTATGTATTTCCTCTATAAATTTTTGGGTGCAGTTGAAAATGTTTGCCATGTTTCATTCATATTGGCATATTGGAAACTCCAGAATTGCATGGTTTGAGTTTATATTTTTTTTCCTAGGTATTTTAGGGGGTTTTTGTTTGTGTTTTTTTTTGTTTTTGTTTTTTTTTTTTGTTTTTGTTTTGTTTTGTTTTGTTTTTGAGCTTTTTGGGTTTTTTTGGTTTTTTGGCCTTATTAAATTTCTGCTGAAGGAATTGCCTCTGCAGAAACAACAAAAGGGAGATGTGTAACCTGAGGAATGGGAGATTTCAGGCAACAGGACAAGGCTTACAACAGCACCTGGGGCAGAGGCCAGTGTATGGCTGAAGGCAAAAGCATGAGCTTATTTCCCAGCAAAGCTACTGAAGAAACAGCAGTGAGGAAAGAGTTGAGGCAACAGGGGATGGATGTGTACAGTTTTACAGTGTTCAGTTTTAAGTGGCTGTGCCACTGGAGGGATGATTTTCCATCAGCCAGATCACTGTCACAAGCCTTGCATCCCAGGTTTTCTCAGTTTGCTGACAGGCCCTAGAGAGGCAGATGTGTCGGATCATGGAAGGGATGTTGAGGGCTGGTTTTATTCTTGTGCACCCCATCCCCTGTGG